CCCCCCTGACCATGTGCTTACTATCCAAGAACCATCCTTGGGGTGGTGCTGGTCACGATCATACAATATATTCATATCCCAGACACTCCATGTATGCCATATATACCTACATTGACCCACAAAACCACCCCAACTGATCGGCATATATGGCAGTCCCATGGAGTGTCTGGGTATGTTTTCTTATTGGGCTGTGGAGGATCTGGACGTTCATCGCTTGGCTCTCCTTTCCGATCTCCGTCTCTCTACTCCGCGCGCGGCACTGTTTCAGTGCCGCTGACAGTGAATCCGCTGAATCCCTGATTTGTTGTTCGGGGTATATGATATAATGTTTTCCCAGTTCCTGGACAGCTAAACAACGAAGAAGCTAATGTGTTGCACCTCCAGGAGGCAGCTCAACACTTTCAGCACCAGAGAAGATCTAGGACTTGCTTGTTTGGCGTCAGTACAGAACCAATAAAGTTTAACGGATCCTTTGAGTTTACCCACTGAGATCAATTGAGTTCTGGGATACTCAGAAGATCCACTTGGTTCAGTGCCTGCGGGTGGACCGAAAACACCCAACTATTCCTTTTTCGTGAGTGGCTGGTGCCTTCCTTGATCACATCTTGCCAGGCCTCACTTGTTTAAAACTTATTCCAGATTCCCTAACGAGAATGTACTTGGGCTGGGTGCCAGCGGGTCTAACTACCTTCTGAGGATGTGGGACAGGAGCCCTTTCCGGGCTTAGCAACTTATGGATTCACCTGTGAGGCTCGACCCACGAGGTCGAGAAGCGCATGGCGTATGTGAAGTGCAGTGTGATATGCTACGAAAGGAATCCAAAGGATGTAGAGAGCAGAGGCTTTAGTATTTGGGAGGTAGAGGACATTTGGCCACGGACATGTCGCCATGCCCGACTCCATTGACCCTGCCATGGATCTCTCACAAGAACCTTCCCCGACATTCCCCCACCAAAGACGAAGGCCCTGTCATTGCCGGGGCCTTTGTTTCGGTGTCTAATGAATGCCCCTTTGAGGTTCAGAGGGTGTCCTAAAACGCCACCCACCCCTGAAGAAAAGAGGGCGAACTGGTCGAAAACACCAGTTCCTTCAAGACTCAACACCGAACTCCTGCAGTCCCTCAGAGTGCGTGGCACCACGTGCCGCCCGCCCGCCGCATTCCGGTCAAAGCGGTGTCACCAGCGGATCGCAGTCGTCCTTCGGTGCGGGATCCCGCAGAACTTCAGTGCATCTATGGCCCCATTTCCACTACTGGTATGAAATGGGTGGCCTTAAGGCCCTGAGAAACGGGGTATGCCCCTCAGGTTTGTACTTACAAAATGGGTGCCTTAACCATCTTAACCCCTTGGGTGTAATGGTGCATCTCAACCTGAGAGTCGACGGTTTGGGGGGAACCCAACCTCTCCCCACGGCGGACATCGAAAAGCAGAAGCGAGACCCGTGCCGAGGTGGACAGGTTCGAGGATCATCCGGAAGCCTCTGCCAATGCAGATGTGCTCACGGCCTACTTGGGCTGGGTCTTGAAGGCTCCGGAGTTGGTTTCTTGCTTCGTCGCCCGATTAAAGGTCGGACCCGGAGGGGTAGACGTGGACCACCAATTCACTGCGATCAATAATCGTCTCGGGTTTCTGCAGAGGATTGGGCTTCAACAAGCAGTCTGGTCAAGCTGAAGTGTTTGTGAGGTGTTCAATTTGCTGCAAATGTCCTGTCCACAAGTTTCTGCCATATGTCCGCCATATTCCCGCAAATTTCCGCCATAGACTTGTTTGTCAAATTTTGCAAGTTGCAGCGCATCCAAGAGTTACCCCTTCATCAATCGTTGGAATGCCCAAAGTTGAACTGGAGAGTCTGCTGTGTAGGGCTTAATCAATTCTGCACGCGTATTGTGTCCTGTTGCACCGGGTGGAGGTCAAGATCCCCAAAGAGCACAACAAGTTGACATATCCCTAAAGGGCTCCAACCATATCCTCAGAAGATGGTTAGACCCCCCTGGCACCCACCCCAACCACCGGTCACCTCAGGAGGTGGGCCAGGAGCCCTAGGGTATGGCACTTGTTTTTGCATACAAAGGTTGCTCCAGCTGTGAATGAAGAAGTTCCAGGGCCCCGTGCAAGCAGAATGTCCAGCGTCCCAGCGTGTGTGGAGTGTGCATCTGTGCACTGAAGTCCTGACATACCTTTAAAAGGACCCGAGATTCCCAAGATCGACATGGGAGCTATCCCCAAGACTTGTCTCCCATGAGTGATATCTTCATGTTAAAGCTCGCCAATGGCATACCCTTATAAACCCCCCAAAACGGCTGTTTGCCATTGTCTTCCATGTGGATCACCGACTCGATCGACCTTTCACCTTCACGTCGCAGGTGCCTGTGCTGCCACGTCTCCTGTACCTGTCGGGTCGCCCAGTGGGGAAGGCGGGTCGAAGGCGGCGCTCTCGGAAGGCGGTGCTTGCAAGCTTGGGAGGCCCTGAAGCCGCCCGAGAAAAGCACGTGGGTGGATGATTGGAGATGATTTGGTATACCAGTTGACCCTTCAAGTATGGGTGAACATCCACCACCCTCCCACATCCAGCCGGCACCATGTAGAGAAGATGTAGGCAAATCTTCCAGTCTCATGGAGGGTCCGGGATACATGGCAGAGATCTCTTGGATCTTGCAGACAAAGTATATCTGTGCATTATCTCACTCATACCTAGATCTCTTGGAAGTCCGGCGCACCCTGTCAAAGTGCCGCATACGAAGATTTCGGTAATTCATGTCCTTTTGGATGTTAACCTCTCCAAGTCGTTTCGTCATGGTTTTCTGGGTGTTAATTTGAGGCAACCAAAAACCCTGTGCGTCGACTTGCATCCTGCGTGGTATTCACTTGTCGTGAGAGGACCCCATGAAAAGAGTGTTAGTGATGGTCGTTATTGTTCTGCGATGTTTTTATTTTTAATTTTACTTGTTTGGTTGTATTATCTTAGAAAGCATACTATAGTGTACGAACAAACACTATATATAGTGTACCTCAGGACGGAGTGCTTCAGAGCTATCCCTAGAAAACGCAACTCCAACGTCCCCATGTTCACAGGGAGTTCCGCGCTCCGTGTTGTTTGTCCGGAAGACTTTGTTCATCGTCCCCAACAGCTTTCAGCAGGGATTGGTTGTGGCCTGCGATGGGGATTGGCTTGTGGGTCCAAGAGGTCCAAGGCTCATTATGAGTCACATAATAGCAGAGTCGCATGCGAAGAGAGCGAGCATTTCGTGGGAGCCCACGGGGTAAGACACCCAGCAGAAGTGGATACCACACGGAAACATCAAAGGGTTAAGGCCCAGGATTCACAAAGGGGTGGTGTTTAGTCCCTGAGTGAGGGGATAATGGGCACCCCTAACCTCCATTAAGCACCTCTTTCAAACTGCTGGACTTTTGATTTTTTTCCAGAATCTATTTCCCTTCTGAGTAGTCAGACCTTTCAACAGCTTCGACCTCAAGACATTCAACCAAGTTGGGAGCACTCCAAACTCTCCAATCCTCTCCCACGGAGCTTGAAGAACCCCATACAGACGACATTCAGTTAACAGCTTTAGACTATCCAGGTGACGGATCCTTTTCTCACCTGGCACCTCTCCAAACTCGTCACCTGGCACCTCTTTCCTAAGGCCAGTGGTCCCTTGGCGCCTCGGCAAAATACACTTTCTGACTTCAACCCAAGCCGGTTTGTGAGAACGCTTCTAACAGCAGCAGATCAAAGATCATAAAACATCTGCGAAACCGCGGAATCACCGGTGGAAAGTCCCTGAGGGGTGTGTATTTGTTTCATTGTTTTGATAGGGAGATCCAGTTGGAGGCCGTTGGGAAGGGGAAATAGTATAGACCTATACCCAGCCAAATGCGAGAAAGGAGGGGCCTCCCTATTGAACTACACGGGAATATGAGCGCTTCGCCCTCAGTCAGCGCGCGTCGACCGCTGTTCGTTCTGGCGGAGTCTTAGAGAATTGGTCTGAAGGAGAGAGTATCAGAGAGTTTGTCAGAGTCTCTCAGTTTGCTATATGTGACATTCACAGCATGTTTCCTGGACAAATGTGGAAGGATATGAAAGCCATTGGACAGGGAGGGTAGGATGCTCCAAATGAATGGATTACCAGTTTGGAGGTTCAGTCCAGCAACCCATGATTGGCTAAAAGGAGGGTCAAATATGAGACTTCAGTTTTGTTTGTTTGATGAAGCCTAGGCTAGTTGTGACAGATGGACTGCCTATACTGGCCAGGGTTTGGACACTTTCGATTCCACTGACAGCCTGGCCTTGGCACGTTGGGATTCCACCACCGTCTCACCGCTGAAACTGCAGACCTGTCCCCGCGGCTGTTTCAGCCCGCGCACCGGACGCCGCGCCATGTTGGTCTGTCCACCGGACGCGCTAGATGGACCGTCGATCCGAAGTGGACAGAATCGGGTTGTGAAGTACAATCACTTGATCAATGCCTGCCACTTGGACCGAAGGTCAGGGGCGGGCGGACGGTCGGACTCCGGTTGCACGGGGCACGGGATGGTTTGGGGCTGAAAAGGATCAGCAAATGAGCAAGGACGTAGAAGTTGTGGAATTCGTTCATGAGGAAATTTGCATAGATAGACTTAGAATTGGCAAGTCGAGCTTGTGTGTCACACGGAAGAAGAAGAAGCAAACTACAAGACATGAGGCCCGAAAACCCAATCATCAGAATCAGAAACAAACAGTTGTTCCATAATTACAATAAGAACATTGAGTTCCTTGAAATAACAAGTGGTTACAAGTGGTTGCTTGTCCAGTGGTGTTGGGTTTCCGTCTCTTCTCGCAGAAAGTCTCGGCCTCCGCGATTCCGTCGTACGGAGGCCCCATTGTAGGGGGTTTAGAAGTTGGATGATGCGAAGAATGAAAAACCATCGGCAGAAGCCGACAGGAGAGGACAGAAGAGGCTTCCAAGCTGACCACTGTAGAGTCACCTTCTTAGAAGAGTCTTCTTTTTGTATATTATCCTTTTTGTACTAATAGTAGGAAACCGCGACTACTAAGTCACCAAGGACCTTGCCGCGAAAATAAAGACGTGGCTTCCAAACTGAGGACTTTCGGTTCCGGCCCTGTTTTGAAGCTTCGAAGCAGGGCCCATGCTGTATCTTTGGGGGAAGAGATACTCTACTGGCTCCAATTACAACCGTTTCAAAGGTGGAACTAGGTATTTTTTGGTCTTTTATATACCTTCTGAGAACGTAGGACTGGAGGGACTGGAGCGGACGATTGACCAGTAAGCTGAGGCAAGAATCAGGGAGACTGGCAGCTTGACGGAGTTGAGTGTGCGTGACTACCGGTAAGCCCACAAAGGTTGGGAACACGACTGTCCTCCTTAAGGAGGTTGCAAATGGTTGCAATGTATTACATTGGTTTGAGAGAATGGATATGAGTTTGGGCAAGATGGATTTGTTCGTACGAGACATATTTTTGTTTACCCAGTATACGCTTCGTAAACCGATGCACAAGCTTTAAAAGGTGGTTGGGTTATCCCTTGTTCTCCTCGATCCCAGTGAGTCCAGCCATTATACATACCTGAAGGCTCCAACGGCTCCAACTACCTCCTGAGAAGATGGTCACCTTCTGAGGATATGGTTGGAGCCCTAGGGATAGTGTTTTACAATGATTTACGTATATGTCTATATACACAATGGGAACCATATGATTTGTATCAGGTATTACTGGCGGCCGCGATGGATCCTATTTCATGGGTAGGTATATTTGCTGGATATGTTTGAGAGACCCAGATGCACCTAACAGCCATGTCGACAGTCAGTTGCTCCAAAGGTTACTGTCCCTAGGGCTCCAACCATATCCTCAGAAGATGGTTAGACCCCCCAAACCCACCCCAACCACCTTCTCAGGAGATGGTTGGAGCCCTAGGGATCCCTAGGGTGTGTACAGTGCTAATGGATCATCATGAGCCTTCGATTTGCACCAACTCCTGGGATTGGAGTGTTTGGTGTTCACGCCGATGGTCCCGTGTGGTGAGACTTGAGGGGACGTTGTTGGAGATCTCAGATGTTTGGTCGACAACGTCCAGCGAATCCAACGCAAATGTGAAGCAATAGCTGGTGAACGCGGATCGGGTGATGTGTCCCGAACTGGGTGAATCCCCTGGCATGGGGAAGGTGTTTCTGACGTTGTCCCGGTGAATATTTGCTCCAGATCAGGATGGCGAGAAGTTTGCATCGCTAGAGAGTATGCGTTGGGTCTGTCCTATTACCTGTAACAGTCAGGAAGATTTTTGAGAAAGGTCATGGGATATACCGTATATAGTACCGCATATGTCGGTGACGGGCAGGTACTGTAGTATCTTCTTATTGTGCGGAGTCGGAACTATTTTCTGAGGTACTTTGAGACTCTAGGTACTTACTTCGAGCACCCAATGTATACAAAATGTGTCCAAATCTGTCCCAAAATAGTCTTTAATCCAAGAGACTCTGAGGCAGAAGGCTTTGTATCTCTTGCGATGTCTCGGGGAGATGAACTTGAGACCTGGCAGTCGACTGGTCGGCCTCGCTTGACATCTCCGGATCCATGGTGAGAGACAGAGAACACCATAGGGCCGTCTTCCCTGAGTGGTGGGATGGATGGATTGGGTTAATAAGAAGAACCATGAGAGTTCTTCCCTTTTTAAGGGGCGGAGATTCACACTATATCCTATAATTCCTGAAAGAATCCAGGTTACGTGGTTGCCTTGGCCCCAAAATCGAATCGAGATTTTCCACTTCAGGGAGGTGGTGGTTTTCCACTTCCACGATGATTTCAGAGAGTGTAATGACTCTTTGGTGCGGTTGTCGGACTACAAAAACTGCTCCACGTGCCAATGCGAGTTGAGTCAAGCCTTGGGCTTGGGCAAATACGGGATATGCAGCCTGCGAGTAGAAAATTGTCCTTTTCAATTGTAAGTCAAAAGGGTAAGGTCAAACATGTCCCAACTTTGGAGCACCTGGAAACGCCTTTGGAACCAAGATTTGGCAAGTTGATTTTGGAAACTTGTTTTGGTGTGGTGTCAAGTAGTACAAGTAGTAGGGATCTCAAACCCATCCCAACCACCTTCTCAGGAGGTAGTTGGAGATCCAGGGAATGCCATATTACAACTGGTGGGAGGAGCGCGGATACTCTTTGGAGGTTCGGCACCAAGTTCACTCGTTGACTCTTTCCCGAGGGCGTCTGTGATGCGGACCGACGGTGAATCCTGCGATTGCCATACAAAGGATTACGAAGGTGCCCCCTTCTCCAGTTATATATATACATGTTGGTTCAACAGACAAGAATGAGATGTAGCAAGGGTTTATGATGCTCCACAAAATCAGTTCCTGGTGGCATTGAAGAATCATGATGAATATGTCAGATCCGCAAAGAGAGCTGAAGGGGGCATTGGTCATACCAAGTCGCATAGAGACATCACAGTGCGAGGAAGGGCCTTCCTGCATCATAGGGTTGCATGAACCAGCCCGTCCCTAGACCTGCTGCTTTGGGAACATGGTGCGTGCATCAAACCGATTGTGTTGACCATGGTGACCATGGTGCGTGTGAGCAGGTGACCATTTGTGTTGCAAACCGATTGCGGCTGATTGGTTTTGAGTCGGGTCAAAGACATCGGGCAAGCAAGCCTGCACTAAGTGCAGACTTACCCACCAAGTACTATACCTGTTTCAAAGATTCTTTTAGGTCTAGGCAACTGAATCTTAGAACTTATGTATCCAGAATCCAAAACAGGTTGGTCACCGTATGTTAGTTAGTTTGCCATTTGCCGCTGCTGCAGCTTGTGCTCAGAGCGAATTGCTCATATGGCACCACCAACTTCATCACAGCACAGCACATGTCTTTGATGTGAATCTTTGTTTTTTCTTTTTCAGGATAGAGAAGGGCTACTGTATTCTCATCAAATAACATGGAATATAATGGATAGTTTTGCATGCCATGTTGGAGTCCAGCTTTGAGATGTAGAATGTCCACAAGTTTTTGTACAGGGAACCATTGTGCAACATACGAAATGAAGAATGGCTCCGTGCTAGGAGTAACAAAAACAAGTCAACGTTTGTGGCGTTTGAACATTGAAGCTGCTGCTGCCAACTATGCTATGCATGAGAGCTGCAGCGCGATGTTTGCAGCACAGGTTCTCAAGGCAGCTCACCACCGTGCCCCCAAAGTGGTGGCAGCAGGGATGGTCTCGGCAACGTGCTGGAAGTGTGGCAGAAGCCGAGCTGTTGGCACCTTTAGCCAAGCTGCTTATGCCTCAAACCCCA